CCGGAGCTGCTGCGGAGGTCAGGCACTCGAGGAGGGGAGGGAGAGCAGCAAGACCAGGCAGCTCCGTGGTTCCTCCTGCTCCGGCGTGCCAGATGCCTTTCACCAACTCACGGGCCTCAAACCTCCAGGGCAGCCCCTGCGGCAGGGACCGCTGGGGACGGCGTGTTGGAGGGAGAGCAGGGCTTGCTGGAAAAAGAGGTGGGGAGCTCAGACTCCTTCCTTTGAGGAGGTGATGCAGGTCCTGTGGCCACCGCATCAATCCCTCCCATGCTGCGCCCGCTCTCTGGGCCTCGGTGCAACCGGGAACCCCTGACATGGACCTTCCCAGGCCATGACTGCGGCCCATCTCCAGGCACCTTCCTCAACCACACCGAAGCCACCAGCACACAGACTCTAGGCCGGGCGGTTCCAGGTGACACGGGGTGCCAGGCATGTCCGGCTCATGACATCCGAGCCATCTGCTCCAACAGCATGATGAACTCCTGACTCGATCCTGGAGCTGGCCAAAAGGCACTTTTGGGGGACATTCCCACGCTCAACGCCCGCAGCGCAAGGAGCCGTGAGCCCAGGCACCAAGCGTGGGTTCACCCTTCTCTCCACCCCTGCCAAACCCAACTCCCCGGGAGCAGCACGGCCCGGCTCAGGCGAGGCTCAGCTCTGCACAGACCAGCTGCCCTGGGCACAAGCACAGAGGCTTTGTTTTCCATGTCGGAACGTGCCCGCTGTGGAAATCGGGCTGAGAGTCGGGTATTTACAGAGGATACGACAGGGACAGGTCGGGGCTGTGCGAGCAGAGTGCCTGCAGCACCCGGGACTCACCTGCGCTTGAGTTTCTCCGCAAGCTCGTCCAGGATCTGCACGGCCTGCCTGTGGTAGTCCAGCTGGGCATCCACCAAGGCCGAGAGCTGGCTCACCTGCTCGATCTGCGGGAATCACACCAAGGGGTGAACGGGTCTCCCTGCCTGACAGACCCCTGCATTGTACATGGGGGCTGAGACCACGCCAGGGAACAGGTATGAAGGGCAGCTTCCCCGGGAAGAGGGAGAGAAGGGTTGGGATTTCAGGCACTGGCTGAGACTCAGCAGGAGAGACATCCCTGACCACTCTCTGGGCTTCACTAGCTGTCCAAATCCTTCGAAAGTGAGCGGCACTACCTGCCCAAACCTACTCCCACCAGCACACTGAGAAGGGACCTGTTTTTATACAAGACAGCCTCTCCTCTGGCCAAGAGCTGGATCGGGAAAAGGGGCTACAGGAAGAATAAGAGGCTCACCAAGCCACATGCTGGTTGGGAGGGACCTTAAAGCCCCCTCAGCCCCCCGCCATGGGCAGGGACACCTTCCACTAGACCAGGTTGCTCCAAGCCTCATCCAGCCTGGCCTTGGACACTCCCAGGGATGGGGCATCCACAGCTTCTCTGGGCAACCTGTCCCAGTGCTCCCCATCCTCTCCGGGAAGAACTTCTTCCTGATATCCAATCTAAATCCACCCTCTTTCAGATCTGGGTTGTCAGGGAGCAAAACCCCGCTTGCCAAAATGAGAGTGGACATGAGTGTCTGTGTCCTTCAAGAGATCCCAACCTCACGCACATGGAAACAGGCAGCCCCTCGCTTCCCCTGCACTCACATCAGTTTCTAGAAGGTTGTGCATGCTGGTCTCCGCTACTTCCTTGGATTCTTCAAATTTCTCCATGGCCTGTCGAAGTTCCTCATCGGGGATTTTGCCCTGACGTTTCTTCTTGTAGTCGAAGTCCAAGCGTCTGCCTTCCAGCTTCTTGAGATGGTGCTGGGACGAGGAAGGTTATGGACAGTAAAGGAAAGGAAGGAAAAGTCATAGATTGGGAACAGCCAAGCTCTCCCACTGGGAAGGCAGCTCTAGTTACAGGACAAGTTCATTTGTCTCAGAAAGCGGATCCTGGAGCACATGCTCCTGTGGCTTCCACCTTTGTTCTGACTCCAGGGAAGGTGCGGGAGGAGAAAGCTGCAAGGCAGGGCTGCTGCGAGGTGACAGTGAGGAGTGGGCCATCCGAACTCAGTCCAGCAGAGCCCTGCTCCATGGCTGCAGGGGCTTTTTACTGGGAAACAACCCTTCAGAAATTGGGGTGGGATATGATTTCACTCCCTCCCAGCTGAGAGCTAGAGGAAAACACTGCAGGAAGCAGCCTGGGTCTGCTCCCCAGACACAGCTTTCAGGAAAAGGGAAGAGTTGGCCACTACTTCCAGCTCCCCAGGAGCGAGTGGGATCTCTGGAGATCAGGAATTGGGATGCAGGTTCTGGCACTGCAACCCCTGACTGCTCAGGGCAGGGCTGCTTACATTAGCTCTGTGGCAGCCTGTAGAATCAGAGTACGGATAGGTACTGAAACAGTAGTTGGTGGTTACGTTATCTGGGACAGCACTGCAAGCAAAAATTCCCTCAGGAGAGCTGCCTTGTGGATTACAGTTGGGATGGCTCCTGTTAGAAAGCCTGGCTCTGCTTGGACTTGTCTCCGTGCTAGCACAGGGAAGCTACCACGCTCCCTGACTCCCCAGCGAGAGGCTTAAGGGTCCTCCTGAGCTCCTGCATAAGAGAGCTGGAGGGAAGCTTGCTCATCCCCTGGAAGCTGTGTTACGGGATCCGGGCTAACAGAACAGAGCCAACAGCCGTACGGAACGACCCGATTCCAACACGAGCCCTGGGTTCCCCTCGTGACAGAGCAGCGGTTACATGCACTAATAGCCAGGAGAGCCAGAAACGAGAGACGAGGAGGGAAGTCATGGAGGTGTTTACCTGGATCTCTTTCAGGTCTTTGTCACACAGGTTCTGGAGGGGATCAATAAAATTTTGTTTGACTTCGATATCCAGCGAGTCCTTCACTTCAGCCAACCGCTTCATAGATTCGCCAGCATCAAGAAGCGCGTCGCCTTCGGGGGAGGAAGGGAACAGAAAGGGAGAAGGGGCCAGCCAGTCAACCAGAGCCGTGGCAGCTGCATGCAGAGCCATTCTGCCAAGGTACCCAGCGTGTGCGAGCTCTGTGCCCCCTCCAACGCCCCCACGTTTCTATCCGGAGCAAATCTCCGAGCCTGGCACGGAGCGAGCGGTGCCTGGCGTGAGAACAGGCCACTGCCTGTCAGTACCAGCTCGGCACAAGACACTTCACTGACAGGCCTCTGAAAAACAGGAACAATCTCTACCAACTACACAGAGGAAGGAAAAGGTAAAAATAGTTGAAAAGCAGTATTTTTAAATGCCCTGTTAGCTGAGGGAGTCGCTGAGCTGCTCACTGGCCATACAGCGCTTTAACCTCGCTCCGCTCCTTGGCAAGAGCAGCCTGAAGCAGAGGCGCGTTTGGTCTGATCCAGTCTGGCCATCCTTTGATTCAGACCATTTTAAGCCCAGAGCACTCTGACCAACTTTTCCAGTTTCCCCAGAGGCTGGCAGCAAACCTGCAGCTTTTTCTTCACTGCAGACACTGACCTCTACCAGGCCAACCTCACCCCTTCCCCTCCCTCTGAATTACAGAGCTCAAAGTGGCTCATTGAAACCTATTTGGTTTCGTGCTTTTCTAAGGCTCCTGCCACAACGGCAGGGCAACAAGACCCAAACACCTTTTGTGGTTTTCGTTCTTTTCAAAGCCCCCTGCCACAACGGCAGCTAAGCCAGACCAAAACGTTTTTAGTCTTGGCTTTTTATTCCAGTGGAAATCATTTACGGATGAAATGATTCCTGTGCAGCTTCGGCAAACCAACCGTTTCAGCACTAGGTTAGCACAGGAGAACGCACAAGTGGAACAGAGGGTGGAGTGGAAGCACCACCGTACTGTCCAGCTGGAAAAAAATACACAGGAAGAGTTATCCCAATCGTGATACCTGGAGATAACCTGTCCCAGGGAGGGACGCAGTGCTAACACGGACATTTGTCAGGTTAAGTGTCCCTTTGAAGAGAGGCTGTTAAAGAAAATCAGGTTTGGTGTGTTCTAAAAGCTTCCTTCCCCCTCGCCCTCTGTAACAGCCCCAGCTCCCGCAAGCCGAGAGATGTGTTGGCCAGAGGCACTCCTGAAGCTCCTCTGTCACTCCCGCCAAGGAGCCAGGGCTTTTGAATTTTCCTGGGGCAAGCAGGCTGCTCCCTGCCCTGGAAGCCATCCGGCAGGAGCGCACTGTACCAGGTCTGGCGTGTGCACAGGCTGACGTTTTAGTGCATTAAAACTGCTGTCACCGAAAGGCTTCACCCCCCTCCCCCCTGCAAGTCACAGGTGGTTACGAGAAATCGCCACGCAGAAGGATTTCTTGGCTGCAGCCTCCCTGTAGCAGAGCTCCGACTGGGAACCGCTCCATCAAACTCCCAATCTTGCTCAGTCTAGTTTCCACATCAGTTTAGGAGCAAGGAAACATTTTTTTCCTATGTGCAAATCTATCTCAGTATTGCGTAAGAAAGGGTTAAGGCTGGTTTTGGACATAATGCCATGGATCTGGGATCCAGGACGCTCGGGCTCTGCTCGCCCCTTCCCTGCCGCCCTGCCTGGAAGCCTTGGAGCCTCTTTAAGAGTCCCCAGCACTGTCAGGTGACACAAAGGGTCACAAAGCCCTTCCAGAATTCACAGTAACAGCTTGGAAATCTGGCAGCAGCCTTCGCCATCTCATCTGCGTGCTCCTGGGGGAGCTGGCCCGACGGGACACTCACCGAAGTTGGAGTCCTCACCCAGCTCCTTGCCGTATCGGATCATGCTCTCCCCCAGCAGCCCTTCCGACTGCGGGTAGCCGGGGTTCTTCACCTGCCCACGGATCTTCGACATGGTGTTGAGCATGGTTAGCTTGGCTCTGGAAGCTGGCACAGAAACAGCCACAGCCGGGTTTGCGATTACTTGGACTTGCCAGCAGCTGCTGGCCGCTGCCAACTTTCTTTTTGAAAGCTACAGGCAAAGCCAAGAAGCCCTATTGTCTTCATCTACCAGAAATATCACTCGCTATGAAAAGAGAAGTTTCTTTTCCAAGACAGCAAGCAAAAATAGTTCCCCTCAGCTCGCCAGTGAAGGCCAAAGGAGTTTCCCCAGCCCTCCCATAGTCCCTGGAGCGCTCTCTGTACGAGCTGGCTAAAGCATGCAGGACAGCAAGCTCCAGAGGTGATGCCTACAAAGCCAGACCACCCTTCCCAGCCCAGAGATGCCACTTTTTCTGGGCATTCCAAGAAAAACAGTTCCCTTTCGGTGCCTCTCTGGGTCCAAGGCGAAAGATGTGTCTGTTCTTTCACTGGTCAGCAGCAACAGCAGTGTCTTACGGGGCAAGAGGTGTATCTGGATCTTCACCTGAGTCACCTGATCTCAAATATGGGATGGTGACCAGTATCTCAGGGCCAAAAAGGTTCTCCCTGATGTCTCTCTGCCCCTGGAAAACTGAGGGGCAAAGAGAAGGGGACAGGAGAGGCACAGGCACTCACCCGGGTTCGGCTGGAGGTACTCTATTGTTCTGGTCAGCACTTCTGTAACTGCCTTGCTGGTCAGGTCCACTTTCTGTAGGAAAGAGAAGAGCCGGCAGTGGTGAAGGTCAGCCCAGGGCTTTGGCGAGGTCACTGAGGAGTTACATGAGCCATGTTAGAGATTCCTCTTGTTCCTGAACTCACCTTTTCCATTTCCTTGAAGTCATCGTCTAGCTTGGTCCCTTCAGCCCCTCCGACCTTCTCGCTGACCAGCTGCAGGAAAAGAACAAGGGAGGAGGAATCAGGCAAGGTATGAGCCACTTAAAGCTCCTCGTGCAGGAAGTCCCTGGGACAGAAAGGAAAGAGGGTGGTCCAGAGAGCACCTGCAAGAGAAAGGAGGTGGCAGGAACAGCCCAGGGCCATAAAAAGAAGTGTCTCTTTGCTTACACTGCCCTAAAAACCAGGCATCTCCTACCCTCCCCGAGCACAGCTCAGTCAGGATACTGCTCACCCGACAGAAGCAACACAGCTCCTGAAATCACACCACACGGCTCCAACTCCAACGCCTGCTGGAAAAAGCAAGTGGCAGAATTGTCTCTCGACTCCATTTTGAGCCAAAGCTTCAGTTTCCCATACGGCAAAACGCAAGTAAACAGGGAACGAACACGCTCTGCTCAGCAGCCAGCACCAGAACAGAGGCTGGAGGGAGAAGAGACCTCTCAAAGCCCTAAACCATCACTCCCAGGGGAAATGCTCTGGATCTGGGGCACGGGGGTTTGAATTCTTTGTAAGCGGAGGACAAAGAGAGCTGCAGAAGCTAGGGTAAAGTTTTCAAACCCGTTTATCAAAGCGTCTCTGACGCCTGGTCTAAAAGCAGCAAAACGGGGAGTCGTTTGACAAGCTGCAAAGACAGGGCTGCCTTTGGCTATCTGTGTGCAGGGCTTATCGGCTTCCTGGTCTAAGAAAAGACCCCTGCTCCCTACACCTCACCATTCAACCACCCGAGCTGAAAGATAATCAGCGCCTTATCAAACCCACCTAAAAGTGTCCTTCCCTGCAGCCCAAAAGGAGAAGAGCGTTTCCTTCCCGGCCCCATGCTGGCGTGGCAGAGCAAGCGGCAGCGCTTGGGGATGCAGGACGTAAGGATCGGCCCAAATCAAGTGGTTCTCTAGCCCCAAAGTGGTCCAGATGGACAGCGAATGATCTATAGAGACATCAGAAGTGGTTGAGGAAGCAGACGCTGACTCCCAAGCGCTCCACGCCTGCCACGGGGCATTGCCAGGATTTCTGTTTGTAGTCAAAAACTCCCATTCTGCATGAACAATACAGGTTTGTTTACTTCAACATCAAATACTTGATTTTATCGAGTCTTTCTTCCTCTGGAACCCTCCTGCTCCCACGGGGATTTAAAACGGTTCCTTACTTTTTCGAGGAAAAGGAGGGGAAAAAATATCCCTTTTTAGGTAATTATCCAGTTTCAAAGGCGCTTGGAGACATCACGCCAGCCCCTCTGCCCTGCGTGCTCGCACACACCGTGCCGTGCTCACACAGATCGTGGTGTGCTTGCACACACCGTGCTATGCTCACACACCCCACACCGTGCTCGCACACACCATACCAGGCTCACACACCCCACACCGTGCTTGCACACACCGTACCATGCTCACACACCCCACACCATGCTTGCACACACCAAGCCATGCTCACACCCCCCACACGGTGCTTGCACACACCGTACCAGGCTCACACACCCCACACCGTGCTTTTGCACACACCGTGCCATGCTTGCACAGATGATGCTGTGCTTGCACAGATTGTGCCATGCTCAGCCCCTAAAAGATGTTTCCAAGCAGGACGTGCAGAACAAACACTTGTTATTAGGAAGAACAAAATCCTTAGTGTTTCAGCAATATCCCATTTCCAGAGCCCAAAACAGGGAGGAAAAACCCAACGTGCACGCACGCCAAGCGCCCAGTTGGATCCCTAAGCACAAAGGTGGCTGCTCGGACCACAGCCGTGGCTGATGAGCTTCTTGCATCTCGGTGGGGAGACGTGCGAGCGCTCAAGGCTGCCTCGGCAGTGCAGACAGGGAGAGGCTGGGGAGCACAGAGCGCTCTGCTAACGGGCCGCCCAGCACAGAGCCAGGCAGCATCAATCACTGCAGGGCCAACACGACGGTTCAGCCAGGCTGACAAATGAGGCCAGAGCCTCCCCAGGCCTCGCTGCACCAGGGAAGCCTCTTTTCCTCCGTCGGAGGAAGCACAGCTCAGCGGAGGCCCTGAGACACTGGACAAAGCGGGAGCGCTGCAGGTCACCCTCAACATTCAGGGGGCAGAGGAAGGGGTCGCCACTCTCCTGGTTCACCCAGCTCTGGACTTCATTCTCCTGCTTTAACCCCCAGATAAAGTCTTTGCAGGCCTGACCTGCGTGGCAGGATGGCCCAGCCCTGCTCCCCGCTGTGGCGTGTCCGGCCAGCCGACGGAAGAGGCCCAAGAGGGATATTATCACCCCAGAGCTGCCTGCAGACGGACAACCCGCCGGGCTTGGGATGCCTGCTCTGCACTTGGGGTGCCAGCACACCCCTCAGCCAGCCGCTCCGAGCCGGGGACATGCGCGTTCCCCTCGAGACACACCGCCTCTAGGAAAACAGCCCATGGAGCAGTGACTCTGCCTGCCAGGACAAGCTCGGCAGAGCAAAGCTCACTCCTAGCAGCCATCGCCTGCTCCCTGCCAAAATCCAGCAGCCTCCGCCACCAGAAAGGGGCCTGGATCACTTTTTGCAAACGTCGCACCTCCAGAATCCTCCTTTATTCATTGATACACCTGGGGAAGGGTACAATTATCCCAAGCAATTCCATTCCCACTTTTCTTCATCCACCCACGGATTTCCAGCCCAGGAAGCTGCGAATAACCCCTCTGGCAGGGAGCTCTGCACCAGGGCCCGCATGCCATGTCAGAGGCATTGAGCACTACAGTGATCTGGGAAGCTTAACACCCTCCCAGAGAGCAGAGAGATGGGAAGGAGGGGGAAAAAACCCCCCCAACCTCACTTGCAGGCTAATTTAATCCTCCTTTTGACATCCACGAAATGCTACTGGTGCCCTGCTGTGAAGGAATAATAAGACTGAGGTTCTCTCCCTGATGGCTCTAATTAAACTGGGATGCTTCATCAGGGGAGGAAAGAAGGAAGGACTGTGTGACACCCACAGCAGCTCCACCCTTATCGCCATGCTCCCGAATCGGTCAGGCAGGGAGACGAAGGGATGCGGATCCCCCCATGGCGCTCGCCGAGACACGAGCCAGGAGAAGCCCCCGCCGCCTCCCGGTTTAACCTGGAGCTTCGCCACGCGCCGGGGCGCCCAGTTTCCAAGTGCCATGCGGTGCACCCCGTCACACCGCCTGCGGAGCCCGCGGAGCCTGGCAAGGAGGTGGCTGCTCTCCGGGGGCATTAAGTTCACCAGGAAGCTCACCCTTTGCTTGCAGGGTGGGAGAGGAAGGAAGCATCCACGCGCTGCCTGTAGCATCCAGCTTGGCTTAGGCGAACCGCGAGTCGGTCGGTGAAACGCTGCAGGTGCCCATGGCAGCACAGCTTCCTCTGGGGAATGCCTCGGGGGCTTTTTTGAGGATGTGGTGACAATTCTTCTGCACTTTTATTTCTTGAGCAGCCAGGAGGAGACCTGGGACACAGCTGCGTCCCCTGGCTGGGGACCTCACCTCCCGTGAACGCTGCAACCAGACGTGAGCCCAGGAACGGGACGGTGCAAGGCAGGACATGGAAATCATGCAGGGGCCCAAATACACTCTTGGAGGCCTATGCCAAAGCGCATGACGGCGTGAAAGGTGAGAACAAGTCTATAATCTCTGGTTTCCTTCATCCAGACCCGCCAGAACGGGGCACGTACTGAAACATTAAACCTGAGCAAGTGCTGCTGCAGCCCAGGGAGGGGAGCAGGGCGCAGGGACGGAGCAGAGCCCTGCACTGCGCTGCCGCAGCAGACGGAGCCAAAGGCTTCCCAGAGCAAATATTAGCACAAGGCGATATAGCTGGGCGTCACGGCCCAGCGGGATCGAACGGCTTCAAAACAGGATGGCTGTTTACCCGACATCCCAACCAAACCAGGCCGCAGGGCACGGAAGAGGGCCCAAGCAGGCCGTGCATGCAACCTCCAACAGAGAAGCCAGGAATCAATCCCTCGCTTCCCATCCATGTATAATTAAAGGGATGCTGGCAGTTAAAATATGCCCTAGATAGCTCTGGTCTGAGATCACGGAGTAGGGAGGTGCCTTTGAGTCAAGGCTGGTGCAGGGCTCCTGTGCCGTGCCAGGAGGTGAGCATCACCAGGAGCATCCAGCCTGCTTCAGCCGCAGGAGAACCAATCCAGAGAGATGAGATGCAGCCAATTCTTGCCAGTGACTGGCTGTTCCTGACCACGCTCTGCAGTTTCTGCAGCTTCTTTTTAAAGAGTGTTGACTCCCGGGGACTTCCATCAGCGTCCATCGCAGGGGAGTAGGAACACGAACAATATCCGACTTCCCCTCACTGCTCAAAACCCACCGAAGGGCTGCGTGTGGTGGAAGATCTTCGGGAATGAAAGACCTATTGTTCAGACTGTGCTGCGGCAGGAGGTTGGCTACGGGAGAGGCAGGAATGGTATGTGTACACAGTGGGGGAAGAAAAGCGCGATGAAGAGGGCTTCTCTTTTACAGCTGGGAGTGGGAAAGAAATGTAACTTGGGGATGAAGGATAGCTGCACGGCCGCTCCCAACTTCCACACACAATCATAGAATCATGGAATGGTTTGGGTTGAAATAGACCTTAACGCCCACCCAGCCCCACCCCCTGCCATGGGCAGGGACACCTTCCATAGCCCAGGTTGCTCCAAGCCTCATCCAGCCTGGCCTTGGACACTCCCAGGGATGGGGCATCCACAGCTTCTCTGGGCAACCTGTCCCAGTGCCTCCCCACCCTCTCTGGGAAGAATTCCTTCCTGATGTCCCATCTCCATCTCCCTCTTTCAGTTTAAACCCGTTACCCCTTGTCCTGTCCCTCCTTGCCCTTGTCCCCCTTTTACACATGTCCCTCCTCAAAACCCACCATTCCTTCATCTCCTCTGCTCAGCTCCAGGACAACTTGCAGCAAACAAAGAAATCTAAGCATGCATTCCTGCACCGGGCATCCTTATGTAAACCAGAGGGATCAGACAGAGGTATCTGTCTGCCCATGCCACCACCGAAACCCACACACATCCCAAAGGCCTGCAGAAGGACCC